CAACTGCCATGTGATTGGTTGATTAGATAATTGCATTAATGAGAAATTGAACAGGTGTTCCTAATAATCCTTTAGGTGAGTGTACTTGTCATAGCTTAACTGTCCCACATTACCTGATGTTCCACAATACCTGAATTCACCCCTAAGTAAACAAAATACGAGACTTTTGGCATTTTTAAAACCTTATAATATTTACATCGTTAAAGCACAGTTCTGTAGAGTTATCTAATAATGGATTGAATGGATACTTCTTGCTATCTCTTGAAACGCAACACTCAATACCGAAGTGAAAACATATTTTAGGAATTTTTTAATTACAAACCGTTTACAAAATGTTTACAACAAAATTTGGAAAAAGTGGAGCTGTCTGGTTACTTTCAAAAGAAACTGTACTCGTCATTCAGATCTCCATGCTTGCTGATGTATTGAGAGACGATCAATTTGCGATTGAACAGCGTTTTATTATTATGTTTTATTGTGATGATTTATTTGATCATTCTGTCACAGGTACGATGAATTACTCCCGGTTTTTAACAGCAGTGAGTGCCGCTCGGAAGCCGTCTCCAATTCGCATACTGAGTGAGTCGAAACCTCACAGACATTGATTACTTGTTTTTCTGCATTGTAACAATCACACATTGGCATTGTACATAATGGCCGTAATCAAAATACAAATCAGATCCATCTACCTGCTAAAACTCCTTGGCTAATGCAGTGTCACAGTAAGCTTGGAGTCTTTGCCAGGAAACACAGACAATTAGATAGTGGACACTATGGATGGGATGCCAATCCACACACAGGTATGCTGTCACTCAGGCTGATTTACAGACACCAGTCCACCCAGGCTGCCAGTAATTGTATGTTGGGAGGAAACTGGAGTCCCTGGATAAGTCCCACATGAGCAACAGGAGAAAGGCCAGGAGTAAGAACTAAACATACATCCCTGGAAGAATCAGGTCACAGTACCACCCTTATGATGAATAATATTCCAGGATGATATAATATGATGGTGCAGTGATTAGCACTGGTGCCTCACACCTCTGGAACCTGGGTTCGAGTCTCCGCCATAGCTCCATGTGTATAGAGTTTGCATGTTCTTCCTGTGTCATCGTGGGGTTTCCACCCACAGACCAAAATCATGCTGAGGTTAATTGGAGTTATCAAATTGCCCATGGTGAGTAAATGGTGTGTGAGTGTGCTCTGTGATGGGTTGGTGCCCCATCCTAGGTTGTTCCCTGCCTTGTGCCCATAGAATCTGTGATAGACTATGGACCCCCATGACCCTGCATAGGTGGGTGTAGTGGATGGATGGATACTTTTATAATGAAAAATGAACATCAAACAGGCTGTAAGAATGAAGGTGCAGAGTCGGTACGCCTTTCTGTGGCAGTCACACCAGAACCCCTCAACTCTTCTCTTTGAAGCGGAACTTCAGCAGAGGTCCCCCCCCACGCTAATCTCACTGGCAGGGGGGGCTCCAAACCCCAGCACCTTCCCTTTCCAGTCGGTCATCATCACCCTGAAGAATGGGGGCAGCATCAAATTTGACGAGGCATCCATGAATAGGGCGCTGCAGTACTCCGGCTCCTACGGGTGGGTCGCCGACGGGCCCGGACGTCAGTGCGAGTCATGGTGTTCTGACGAGTTAAACTACTTTGTCGAATTAGGCTACCGCAGTGCTAATTGATAGCCCTAACCCCCCAAAAAACCCTAAAACCCTTACCCTAACCCTAACCCCTAAAATCTAACCCTAATCCTAAAACCTAACCCTAATCCTAAGAAGGTGGAACTACACGTGCACAGAAAGGCTCGATAGGTAGCACTGGCCAATAGAACAGCCGCCACTAGAGAATTCGGATCTCCCGGAATAGCCTCAGTCCTCCTTATAGGTTAATCTGTGAGCCTGTACTGAATCAGTGGTATGGAAAAAGTCAGAATGGGCCGATGCACATTTTTTTTAAGTTCTAATCCGATTCCATAACTGCCGATAGTGATATAGATTCTGATACTATTTTAATATAATATAGTATATAAATAATATACCCTATATAGTATTATTTTTATAATTAGTAAATACAAAGGAAAAAAATGTAACCCAAAAATCTTTAATCAGAATACGAGAAACACACATAACATACTGTTCCACTTTGTTTGTATATCTTGTTTTAAACGTTTTTGAGGCATTTGTAGTTCAATCTGAATATCTTCCAAGTGAGCATACGCAGAAGGCGAAGGCTTAAAATCCTACAATTTTTATCCCACTGGCCACAGAGTCGCTTACACTCCGTTGCGATAGCAGCCACATTTGTATTACAAGCTGTGATGAGTCCGTAAAACAGCCCAAGCTAGCGACTCCCAAATCATCCATTCCTTTTTTCATATTACTGGTGTTGCAGTGCGCTTTGTTTAGTAGGAGTTACTAAACGCTACTCCCACCTCTCAAAACTTAGCTTTCACAAAGACTGCAGATTACAGAGCCCCTGAAGTCCTATAAGGTGATTTTTTTATACTGTGCGCGCAAGATAATTTATTATAAACTTGTATGCGTCTCTAAGGACTTCAGATACACACAGACACTGTATATTGGGCAAAATTCATTAGGTTTCAGGGATTCAGTAGGTACTTTCAGTTGTTCGTGCCAGGTGCTCAGCAAACCCCCCCGCCCCCCCACCACCTTCCATAAGGGTCTTTGCATTGGATCAGGGTCCTCCTTAAGTTTCTGTGTCTCTGTTTAAAATTACAATTATAACTGTTCCTGACGTTTTTCAAACCAGAGTGATCTTCTGTAAAACCACCCTAAGTCAACAGCTGACACCCTAACGAAATGGATGAAGGCCTTCAGTCTTTACAGCTCCCACCAGTCAGGTAAAGAGGGGATACTTGTGCTGCTCTCAGAATCCCAGAGCTGATATCCTGGATGAAGGACCTCCAGAGGGCGCTGCACAGCCCCCCCACGGTGGCGTACGCGGCGGAGAAGGGCCGCATGGAGATGTGCGTGACGACGGGAAGCCAAGAGGGCCTTTGCAAGGTGTCTCCATCACCTTCTTATGTGTGCTGCATACACTTGGAGGTCCTGCAGTAAAAATACTTCGCTGCCCATCTATACGTGTTAAAGCAAGAAACGTAAACGTTTCTGTAAAGGGGCTTTGCATGGGGTACTGTTTGCTAAGCCTGTGCTCAGGGACCACAGATGGTCCACATATTTGCTCTCAGCACACCTGGACCAAGCAAATAAGAACAAAGCAAACAATCAAGGATGAACCAAACCATCAAGAACAAACTGAACAATCAGGAACACCACAGGGAGCTGGGAGGGAGCAAAAATGTGGGCTGTCTACGGGTCCACGAGGACTGGGTTGAGAAATACTGGTGCAGGGGTATGATGGGGACTCATACCCTGATCTTCAGCGGTGTTGTTGTTTCCTGTTTTCTTCACCCTTCCAGGTGTTTGAGATGCTAATTAATCCTGGGGACAACGTGCTCCTGGATGCCCCTACGTACTCCGGGACGCTTGCCGCGGTAAGAAGCCCTTATCTTATCATTTTTATAAACACTTTATAGGCACTTTCATCTTTGCTTATATCGGTGACTCTCTGTAATTATTAACATGGCGTATCCATTTTTACAGCTGAATATGTTGTCGAAGGGGTTTGGTTCAGGTATCCTCCCCCCCAGGATGACGATCCCCCTCCTAGGACTCGAACCTAGACTCTCTGCAGCTTGGTTCCTTAACGGCTCTGCCCCCTACTGTCTGAAAGGCTGAGTAGGCTGTTCTCCCCCCACCATCCCCAAACCCCCTGACCTTAGCTCCAGCCGCTGGGCTGTAACATCATCAACATCGCCAGCGACCATCACGGGATGATCCCGGAAGCCCTCAGGAGGGTTCTGTCCCGGTGGGACCCGGCCGAGGTCCGGAGGCCCGGCAGCACCGTCCCGCGGGTCCTCTACACCATCCCCAACGGGGGCAATCCCACGGGGGCCTCTTTGACCGCTGAGAGGAAGAGGGAGATCTATCAGGTGCCAGACCGCACTTTATGACGCTTCTCTAAACTAACAAATAGTACGAATTGTGTGATTTATTCATTTTGCCACATAGTAGTGTTTTTGGACCCGTTCATTAAATTGTCTCCAGTTTAATTACCTCTCTTTCTCGTTAAGCTTGCCAGAGAGTATGACCTCCTGATAGTCGAGGACGATCCCTACTATTTCCTGCAGTTCCAGAAGGTAAACCCGCTCTGTGGATTGCGTTTAATCTCTGCCGTTGTGTCCCCTAGCTGTGCTGGAGTGATGCTCTGAATAACGAGAGTGTTTCTATAAAAAAAAGAAAGCTAAGCTATTATTAATGAGTGTTTTTACGTAAAAGGCACAGTCAGTACGTACAGTATCTGTCCTGCATTCTGTAAACAAGGGAAGTTACCTGTATTCCTGTTGAGCTTTCCATTCAGTGACCGCCTCCTCCTCCATAGCCTTGGGCTCCCACGTTCCTCTCCATGGACGTGGATGGACGGATCATCCGGATGGACTCCTTCTCGAAGATCCTGTCGTCGGGGTGAGCCAACCTAGAATTTGGCGCCTAGTTAAGTCGACCCGTTTCATGGTCTGTGCCGTCCCGAGTGAAACCAGGAGAGTGGTGTCTGTTACACTCGGGGGGGATAGCTAGACATTCTGGGCCGCCTGAAAAAATGTCACCTTGGGCTGCCTGCTAGGGTTGCCACTTGAAGAAAGACAGGTCCCTCATGGTAGATAGAATTTACCAAGGGGGGGTTCCCGCAGTATAATTTATTGTGTTAATGTATGAATTATTATTTTTGTATTCAGGCGCCCCAATAAAGTGCCGGGCCCCCTGATTCTATCCAAGCCACTCCGATGTCCCTGGTTACCCCCCCCCCCCCTTATATGCCGTGTCTGTACTTATTCTCCAGGGAGGGGCTTTTGGCAGCAGGGTTTTTCCACTGCGTGCGTTGCATGCCGGCCTGTTAATTATTACTGCGGCGTTTCTGGGCCGAGAGCAGCGACGCATGTCGCGGCTGTGCGTCCTCGCTGGTGACATGCTGGGGGCCGGGAGCCGGGGGCCGGGGGCAGGGGGCAGGGGCCGGCTGGAGGAGGGAGACACCCGCCTGTCAGCCTCCGCCTGAGGTTACATAATACACTCCTGTACTTATGTGGCCTGAGGGCCAGGTGAGTCGGATCAAACCGGTTGGGACAAGATTTCAGCCCCACATGCAGCCAATATCGCTGTCACAATGCCGTAGCAGCACCTGCATTGCTGGATGTGGCTCTGCAGGTTAGATGCTGTGTCTGTCATCAGAAGATCGCTGATTCAAATCCCAGTGCCGGCAGAGTGATGGCAGGGCCGTGCCTCGCCCCAGTTGCTCCAGTGCCGGCAGAGTGATGGCAGGACCGTGCCTCACCCCAGTTGCTCCAGTGCCGACAGAGTGATGGCAGGGCCGTGCCTCGCCCCAGTTGCTCCAGTGCCGGCAGAGTGATGGCAGGGCCGTGCCTCGCCCCAGTTGCTCCAGTGCCGGCAGAGTGATGGCAGGGCCGTGCCTCGCTCCAGCTGGACCCTGGGGATTGGGGTTAGGGCAGGATGGGTAACAGGCACCTACTGGCTTCCCAGAGATAAACATACAGAGGCCCTGCTGGAGATGCTGGGTTTAACAAAAAGAGGTGGCACTTTGTTTCAGTATGATTTTATTGTTTGTCTGCACACAGATGCACACAGAGGAAGGCATCACGCCGAAACGTGTCTGTGTTATGTGCAGACTTACAGTAAAATCATATTGAAGCAAAGGGCAACCTCTTTTTGTTAACCTTGATTGATTTTCTTAATGCGGTCCAATTATATTATAGCACTAGTAGTGAAGCTCATTTTTCTATACCATAAAGATTTTGGGCACCAACCCCAAACCAATCCAAGTAAGTTCTAGTTTTTTCAGGGCCCATGTCACTCGTGGGCCCTTGGAATCACCCTAACTTTCCCCTGCTTTACGGCGTCCCTGAGCATGTATGAGGACATAAGGAATTTGTAAGGTGGGCTTCAGCGTCTGGTGTCTGCGTGTGTATGTTTGCGTGTGCGTCCAGCCTGCGGATTGGCTTCATGACGGGGCCCCAGACGCTCGTGGAGAGGGTGGTGCTCCACATCCAGGCCTCCACTATGCACACCAGCACGTTCACTCAGGTGAGTCCCCCACGTAAAGGCAGCCTCTACTCACATGGGTCACCTGCCTGATCGCTTCGTGATGGACGGGCTTGCTCAGTGCCATGATGTCCACCAAACCACCCCCCCCCCCCCCCCGGCTCGTTCCAGCTCATGGTCTCCAAGCTGCTGCAGGACTGGGGTCAGGACGGCTTCCTCAGACACGTGGACAGGTGAGTCCTGTCAGCGCAGAAGCTCCCAGCTAACCCACTGGTCCCCCCCCCACCCTGGAGAGTAACGCACCCCACTCGTTCTCACAGCGTGGTGGAGTTCTACAGAAAGCAGCGTGATGCCATGATCTCCTCAGCAGACCGGTGGCTCAAAGGTCAGTGTTCAGTCTCTAGGAGGCGCTGTCTGTCTGTCCCTCACCATCCCCCAAGATGGGCAGAGAGGCTTCCTGTTGTCGAACTGATGGAAAAGAAGCCTTAGCTTAGCACATAGCAATGCTGATGCTCACAACACCATCTCAGATGCAGTCTTACCCATCTCCTGCCCCCCTACATTACCCGCCCTGCCCCGCAGATGTGGCAGAGTGGCACACTCCCACTGCGGGCATGTTCCTGTGGATCAAGCTGAAGGGCATCTCGGACACGCAGAAGCTGATCATGGAGAAGGCTTTGGAGAAGGAGGTGAAGGCCAACGTTTCTCCCACCATTCTCCTCAGTGACCCCTCGGCCTGCTCAGCTAAGATTGCAAACATGGTTTTCCGATTCTTATCTGAATCCACCGAATGGGCGTTTTGTGTAATTCGGCACCCTACTGATGGGGAGGCAGCCTGAGCTTGTCTGTTCATCATCCCGGTGCTGACTGACAGCCGCTGATCATTACACAGTAAGCTGTGTAATCATTTTGGATAACAGTGTCTGCAGAGAGACTAAATAAATATACCATAAGGTTGCAAAAATAAACACGGATGCCAGTCCCACACAGACAGGGAACGCGAGCCTGACCAGCGTGTTCTATTTGCTGAGTCAGTTTCCCATATAGATTTCTCACCCCGGAGAAACTAGCAGAGTCATCGCTCCTTGGAAATCACACGCACGGTCTCAAAACCCGACGGCTCCGCTGTGAACCACCATCCTGTTACTGTAACACCGTGTGTTCATTTATGGTTTATCATCCTCAATCTCCCATGAGTCCTCAGTGGTGGGGAAAGTATCACAGATAGCAGTGAATTGCTCACTGCGAATAAAATGTGAAGAAATTAAGCTATTAAGCCATAATTTTTAGGTCAGGAGTGGTACCAAGATTAAACATGGGGAACACTGTATAAAATTAAACTTTGGCTTATTTACTTTCATCCACTATCATTCTTCTAACCAGTTATCTTAGTCAGAGACATGGGAGGGGATTGGAACCTAACCCAAGCACAGGGGGCACCAGGCTGGTGTAGAGCCAGGACAGGAAGAAGGGAGAATCCCGTTTTAGTGCTGTTATATTGTTCATTTTGAGTTGCACGGCTTGGGCATTCAGCTTAAAGGAACTATTGCATTTGAAAGCACTGGAGGACAAAAAAAAGGGGTTTGTAGAACTACTGAGAGCCCCACTAATCTGAATGTGAATGCAGAGGGCGGCACTGCACGGGAATGCTGGGGAGGCTGTCTGAGGACAAGCTTGCCTTTCCTCCCACGCCAGCACTCTGCTCCCATTGGCTGCTTCCGTACGAAAGACTGGGGTGGGCGGCTACCCGTCCTGCCAGTCTTCTCGTGGGATTTTTCTGTTTGCTTTTTTTCCTTGTTCCTTTCTTCCTGGAACAGAGGGACTTGCAACTAGAGAGAGAACACGGATGGACGGCCCCCATTGGCTGGGAGTGGTGATCCACAAAGGAGCCAGCCAATCAGGAGTTAGAGTCAATGATCATAATGGATTGTCTGGTTGAGCAAGATCCCTAGAATATCCGTGTTTACAGTTAACGAAAGCATGCCTGCTTTAATTAAATTTTGATCTGCATATGTCCGCAGTAATGGTGCCATGTTGGTTGATTATATTCCTGGCGTGTATTTCTTGGTGATGGTTTGTTGGCTCTCCAGGTTCTCCTGGTTCCTGGCGGGGTCTTCAACATCGACAGCTCTCTGCCCTGTCCTTACGTGCGGGCCGCCTTCTCCTTGTCTACCCCGCAGCAGATCGATGAGGTAGCAAGAGCCTTGATTCCTTTTTTTAAGCTATAATACAAAATACAGTGAACGAGTAACCACACAACTGATACATCTGCCTTCTGTTATGGTGAGCTGTCACGAAGTTGAGACAATCCATGTAGCAGCTCTAAAAAATAAGGTTTTATTTAACAAAACAAACAGAAAAGGAGAACTAAGACACAAAGGGACCGTGAGGGGTCAAAACAAAACTAGAAAAACAGAAACAAAGGCAAGGAGCAATACCAGGAACAGTAATACCAAAGGCAGGGAGGAACTAAGGAAAACTACAATGACTATCAGGTAATACCTACAATGACTATCAGGTAATATCTACAATGACTATCAGGTAATAACTACAATGACTATCAGGTAATAACTACAATGACTATCAGGTAATANCTACAATGACTATCAGGTAATAACTACAATGACTATCAGGTAATAACTACAATGACTATCAGGTAATATCTACAATGACTATCAGGTAGTATCTACAAACATGCAAACAACCACAATGACCCACTAAGAAACAGAGAAGGCAGGCAGTTAAAAACACAACTAATGAGGCAAAATGAGGAACAGGGGTGGGCCAGTGAACCCCTCCCTGCTTAGCTTTTCATGCAAATTGTAACTAAAGTGATTTTCAGTGTTGTATTAATATTGATGAACACTTCTCTGTTTCTTTTTTCCACAGGCTTTCAAGAGATTGTCTGCACTTATCAAGGAGTCGTTGTAAATCGTCGTGATAAAAATTATGTCAACGATAGATGTGGAAATGGGAATTAAAGAGTCTTTGGTAACACAGCTGTACTTTACAGCCACGTATGGCCCTGGATATTAGCCTGTTTGGGTCACATGGCCAAGTGTGCTGACTAGTCACTACACTGCAAACCATGCAGCCTGGAACTTCAAATGGTTTATTAGGAATATTTTCTGATTTTTGAATGTTTACAGTTTTTTTTTTCATAAAAAAAGGTGTAATTAAATTTTCTGTTAAATTACTTGAAGTTGTTGAGCTTAAGATGGTCTATCAGAGGTGATCACATGACCTCAGAATAAAGCCCTCATACTGAAGGGCTTGTAGACACATTAATTACACATAACGGAAGGCAGTGATGTCCAGTATCCATCCATCCATCTTCTATACAACTTTTCCAATACAAGGTTGACTTTGGATATATAAGCATTAATATCTTTGTGTGCCTAGATTTTTAATGCGTCATGAGACCACCAATAAATGTCACTTAAGTTTTTAATTATGATCTGTTTTTCAAGCAGTTCATAAACTTGGACAAAATCCATCAGTGGACCTACTGCATTTTAATTATTCAGCATAATGAGAATTTGTGCTGTTCTGTAACTAATAGAAATTGATGTGTATATAGCTGTGTTATTTAAATCTCTGAATCGACATTAGACCCGTGTAGAGATCAGTAGTTAATTTTTAAAATGTTAATAGCCTAAGTTTTTTTTATTCCAGTGATTATTATCTCTTTATCTTTGTAACCGCAGTCAGGGGCGCCGTAAGGGGGAGGAAAGCTAGGACGATTCCAAGGGTCCCTGAGCGACAGGGGCCCTAAAAAATTAGGAAAATAACTGGATTGGTTTGGACTGGGGGGCCTAATATGATATGCTTTCATGGGGCCCAAAATCTCTAGCAACGCCCCTGACCGCAGTATGCATGCAGTTATTCCAGAAACATCTTACAGAAGTTTTGTCTGCTGTTTGTATTATTGGCGGAGCGAACTGAGTCTCCTGGGGTAAAAAGCTTGTTTGTTCTTAGTTTATACACTAACAGTTGCCATAAGTATAAGTATTCTGGAGCAGCTAAATTGGCGGATGTAGCTGACTTAAGTTTGTTATTTAAAGTAGCACAAAAAGAAAAGGGTAAGATGATAAGCACTGGATTTTCTTCATAGCGTACATGTAATTTAAAACTGAACTTCTGAGATTTCACTTGCAGGAACTAGGCACTTCTGTATACCTTACAAGACTTGCATTACGTTTCACACACACACAAAAAAACTGTGCTATTTAATCTGTCCTAATTATGGAATGGAGGCTTTTACACGAGACTGGAGCGCTGGTTTTTCCCAGCCCTTGAAAAGGAATGTGTGTCTGTTTGTGGAAGTGTGTGCATATCTATATAATATAGATATGTGTAAAAATCTTCAACATCAAACCGTGCAGGTGAGAATATGGAAAAGATAAATGTCAGGTGCAGCTTCCGAAGACCAAAGGTCCCCTCAGCTAAACAATCGTTGTCCAGTACAAGAGAAAAATCATCCAAACAAAAAAGTCGTATCCGGGTGAGAGGCGATGCGGGCCTGATTGACAGAAGGTGAGCGGACAGCGTCCTTTACCGCCAACCGGGGCCACGTAAGTGCACGGTGTAGCTGGAGGGTGGGTTTCACAGAACAATGGCTTTTACAGCACCAGACAAATGTAACATACAAATAATTAAAACAATGCAAATGCGTATAACTTATCTAGTATTCGTAGAGCTACAATAGAAAATAAATTTTTGAATTTGCTGCGATTCGAAGAGGAAGATTGCATCAGTGGAAGTATCCGCCTATATAGTTATTGAATGCAACTGAATTCGTCCATGCAAGTCTGGCAAATGCTGCAGCATAGTCAGACTCAATGAAAGAAAGCGTTTTAAGTTCAGCAGTACTGAATTTACGCTTGGATTTACCCGCATTTGTGATTCCTGACCTTGCCCATTTTTAACGATCTTCCCGTTAAGTAGAAAACAAATCGATTTCCAGCCAGATCAGACTAATATAGCATTGTGTTCAATATAACTGAATAGCAGGAGTAAAAATAAGCGAGCCTGTTTTAATTATTGAAGAAGACTAGCTACTAACGAAAACGACGCCAAAATATAGCTCTTGTAATGAACACTCTCTTTGTTCATTATGCTTCATTCTGCCATACTTCACTAGAGGGTTCGTGCAATATGCACAAAATGGCCATGCTAAACTTTCCCTGGTCGATCCGGTAAATGGCACACGGCGCGGGTTCCCATCCCCCATACTGTCGTACCCGGCGTCTCAGGCACACCGGCCCGGCCCCGCGCATGCGCACTGCTTCACCCGGGCGAGCTCTGCGACGGAGCTCCGCTGCCTTAGCAGTCGGGGATCGGAGATGGAGGCGGCGTGGCCGGGACCGCTACCGCCGCATACGGAAAACGGCGTTTCTGTAAAGCCTGGTGTGGCACCTTGAGGGACAGCTGCGTTCTGTTAGCGGCTCGGAGGGAGGTGGTGATGCGAGTGGATCGGAAGTGGACCTCATTGTGCACGGGGCTGATTTTGTTATAAGTTCGGGTGTGTTTCCACTCTATTCCGCTAGTCAACCATAACAAGAAAAAATATGAAGGGTATTCGTGTCTGTTCACTTAGCGGCGATGTGGACCCGCGATCACGACCGGAATGTAAAGGAAAAACGCATTACCGTTTAACTTGTGTTTAATCTGCTTAGACGATCGAATTAAACCACGATCACACTTTCAAAGGGATCCTTTCTTGCCGGCCAGCGGCAGGATGTTGGTGGGTACGTGGGCTGTAGGAAGGGCTGTGGTGATTCGGGGTTGGTTTTTATGCTTTAATTTAGTGATTAGATTCTTCATGCAGGGATGGCACACGAGTACAGTGCTTTAGCTTTCGCTCAGGGTCAACATTACTTCGGTCGTGCCAGGACAGTGGCCAGCTAGTTAAGTAACTGCAGTGAGGTGTCAGCTTAGTGCTGCCTTAGGTTGCGTCAGGGGATAAGTAAAATGCTGCTTGTGTTAAAAGGCTTTCAATAAACAGACTCTTAACTATTTAGTCATTCAGAGCAAGGGCGTTTTTTTGCTATATATATATATATATTTTTTTTTCCCCTGTCCTTCCTGAACTGTACTGGGACATCTAGCTTTGGTATTGAATGCATTTTGGGACATTGTGATGGGGGTTGCTGTAATGCCAAGTTTAACGTGTGTGTACCTCTTCCCCACCTCATGGACGATGTGGCACATCTGTTTTACAGAGTGATGCTTGTGAATGCAGAGGCCGGCTGCCGCACCCCCGCCCTGACACACGCTCTCAGATAGCCGCGGCGGGTCCTCGCACAGCATGAAGACTCGACTTGTCTGAAGACTTGACTTGTCTCTTATTGAGTCTTTGGGTGGTGCCACATCGTAGGGGGAACATGAGACAGGAGGCGAACGGACACGGGGTGCTGCTTTTGGCACTGGTGGCCCTGTATGCCGCCGCCGGGCCAACCCATGGCACAGGAAATCAGATGGCAGACCATGGAAACGGGACCGCGGATCATGGAAACAGGACCAAGGACCCTGGGAACTGGACCGCGGACGGGCTCGGAGGCTCAGTGCCGGTGCTGCTGGCCAGGACCAAGCAGATCATTGCCCGAGAGGGGAACAGCGTCGTGATGGACTGCAACGCCAGCGGGGACCCCCTGCCCAGTGTGCGCTGGTTCAACTCGCATGGTGCTCTGCTGGAGTCCGAAGCCAGCGGTACGTTGGGTGGGGTGAGGGGGGTGGGGGGGGGACTGGGCGGAACATTAATCAGCAGTAAAAGGCAGTGTTTCCCAATGCAGTCCTCTGGGATCCACAGACAGTCCACATTTTTGCTCCTTCCTTACTGGGAGCTGGGAGGGAGCAAAAATGTGGACTGTCTGGCAGGGAGCTCAGAGGGAGAAAAAAGACGGACCAACTGTGATTCCCCAAGCACTGGATTGGGAAACACTGGTATAAGGAATGATATGGCAGCATGGCCGTCATTCCTTATTCTTTCTTCTTTCAGAAGGATCATGCGACATGGGTGAGGGGGACGGCGACTTGGGTCCATGCCCAGGTAGCTTTTGGGGCATTAATAACAATCATGAAAAAATTACCTACACATAATTTATTGTAAACTGATTAGACTTGATTTAAAAGCCTGTATTATGTCCTTGTTTTTTAACATGGAAAGTTATATCGAAGTCTTTCAAAAGCAAACAGACAAGTGTATGCGACTTAAAGCCCCCCTGTTCAGACTCATTCCGCGGTCCTTGAGAGTCCTGGACCCGTACAGATCAGGGTTATCTCATCCAGGTCCTCGTGTTTACTCAGTGCTTTATGATGAAGTTAACAGTGGAAATGTAAATATTATTATCCTGTAGTTGATTTGCACTGCATTTAGGCCCAGCAAATGTCCCATCTTTATTAATTACAGTTGGGCTGAACTGTGGGTCAGCCGGGGGGGGTGAGGGTTGGTTCGGCAGCAGGACAGCCTGAGTGCCGCACACCTGCGCCCATCTGGCCTGTGGTACACAGAGGAACAGTGAGCAGTTTTCACTGGAAGCTTGAACTGCACAAACAAGATGTGGAAACCGCACCCCCACCTCCCCACAGCCTATCCTCTGAGGAAATCTGTGCAAGGTCAGATGACTCACTTTCTTTGTGAAGCGAAGTCGAACCTTGATGCTTATTGAAGCATGCCGTATGGCAGCCTTTTACTGGGCCCGTGGGGGGAGCTCATTTAGACCGCTCCGAGGAGCCACACAGGCTCACACCTGGGGGCGAGTGCTCCCCGAACACCTGGAATGGAGGGAACTGGAGAGATGACGGAGTCAGTCACAGGGCAGGAGATCTATGTGGGACCTGTGAGGGGGGTGGGGAGGGGGGCTGTGTGGTGTTTATGATGGGACCAGATCAGTGGCTCCTAGACCTAAACTCCCTGGAGAAGCTTAGTTGGAAACCGCAGATTAGCGCCGAATGTTTTTCTGTTTATGTTGCTGCAATGGGTGCAGTTACCTCCGGGAATCCTGTCACATGATGGGTGTCATTAACAGGAGTTAGGTCAAGTTTAGGCACAGTTCTGTGCACTTGTGGGGGGATGGGGTGCCGTGAGTGGTGGAAGTGGCCTGAGCAAGGTCTACGTGAAAACCAGTCCTGTTAGCGCGGCAGGACTTTGATTCAGGATCATCAGGGCATTCATGTGGCAAAGAAAGGACGGATGTTCAGTTTGCAGAGGATTACAGGAATGTCGACTTGATGGAGCTTGCCCTCATGGTGGAAGGCTTGATCTCAGTGTGAAAGTAAATACTGACTATTGGATTCATTAATACACTTTTGGGTTGTTCTTTGACGTCAAACAAGGCCACTCCTGTCCAAAACCTAGAATAGGTCTAGTTGAGCTCTCACAAAAGCGGTGGGTGTTCCTGTCAGCCATTTTTCCTGTACTGCCCGGGGGGGTGGTAATTGTGAAGTTCTTCGTTCATTGTTTCCTCACGCGATGTTCTGCTTCACTGCGTTTCTCAATTCCATGTTCTCAGGTGTCCGTCGGTGGGGGGGGGGCTCTTGTGACTGGATGAGCTTAAAATCGGAGGCAGGTGTTCCAGAAGAGCAGGACAGGCATGCTTAACAGGATGGTGTTTGTTTTCCAGATGCTGTCACATGTTGCAGTAGCGTGAGGCTGAGCTTACAGTTAGGAGTCATTCAATTCCGTTGTGTTAGCAGGAAGCTAGTCGAAAGGGTCATCAGGTCGAAAGGGTTACCTAGTAGAAAGAGTTACCCGGGTAGATGATATCAGCCACAGCATGGGCTCTTCAGTTCAGTCGGCTTGGCTTCAGATAGAATGATCAGAAAAGTCCAGCCTCACAAGAGAGGGGTGCTTTGGCAGCCGCCAGTGTGAACGCCCTCCCCGTGGAGCGGAGTGTCAGAAATCCCACCGCGTCTGACATGGCTCACACTGACACTTGGGTCAAATGGAGACTCGATCATCAGAGGCTGCGTGTTGGCTGTGTGTCAGCCTCCTGCCCCCCCCCCCCCCCCGAGTCGAGTAAACTACCATTGAGGGACTCGTAGACGCAGAGGCCGACCGCAGATTAATTGCACTTCCAGAGAATAGTGGGAGTGTAATGGATTAATAAATCGTGACTTCTTATCACTAAGAGAGGACCTTTCCAGGGATCAGTGTTTTTACCAGGAAGAACTTTGGTGTCAGCATTTCCCAGATCCTGGAATCTCCAGGCTCTTCCCGGGAGGACACCGGGACCATTTTGGGCTGTGCCGATTCTTAGCCTCTCGCTAATACCTTTCCTGACGCAGGGTTTTGCGTGCGAGTCCGCCACTAATTTTAATGCAACCTGATGCCTGTGGGAATCTGACTGCCACCTTCTGGTTTGACTAGGATGCCTTGGAATGGGGGGCATTTCTTTGTGGTGGCATCTACAGTACATCTATACTGTTCAGAGTTTTTGGTAAGCATAAGGCTGCTGAGAGCATCAGTGGGGAGGTTTTAAATCACTTTTGGTCCTTTACTTTGTCTGTGGGTAGTATTTCTATTCTAAGGGTATCCACGATGACCAACAGGCTTATCTCTGTCCCAGGTGGCAAATGGCTGATCGAGGATGGAGTCCTCAACATCACAAGCATCACATTTTCTGACCGGGGCAGGTACACGTGCATGGCATCCAACGTTCACGGCAGCAGCAACCACACGGTTACCCTGCGTGTGGTTTTCATCAGCGGTGACATGGGTCTCTACTACATGATCGTGTGCCTGGTGACCTTCACCATCATCATGACGCTCAACGTGGCCCGGCTATGCATGATGAGTAGCCACCTGAAGAAGACAGAGAAGGCCATCAATGAGTTCTTCCGTACGGAGGGCGCCGAGAAGCTGCAGAAGGCTTTCGAGATCGCCAAGCGCATCCCCATCATCACCTCAGCCAAGACGTTGGAGCTGGCCAAAGTCACGCAGTTCAAGACCATGGAGCTGGCCCGCTATATCGAGGAGCTAGCCAGAAGCATCCCGCTGCCCCCACTGATCACAAACTGCCGCACATTCATGGAAGAGATCTTGGAGGTGGTTGGTGTGGAGGAGATGCGGCACACGTTTGTCCGCCAGGCCCCTGAGGGCCAGGAGGGGGCATGCGGAGATGTCTACACCATTCCTCGCCGGCGCAGTGAATCCCCCGCCGCCGACTCAGACGATGCCTCACTGCAAGAGCAGCCTCAGCATATCGCCATCCAGGCCTCAGTGCACCCCCCACTGGCTGCTGCTGGGTACTGCAGCATGGAGGGTCCTTCACCGGATACCCCACCCACCTCGTTGCCTTCATCCCATCTTGCTCTTCCTCCACCTGCTCCGCTGACAGCTCCACCCCAGGATGGACCCACAGAGCCAGAGCCAGAGCCAGAGCCAGAGCCAGAGGCAGAGGCAGAGGTCAAAGTCAAACCTGACATGGCAATCTACGAGAGTCATGTGTAGTTGTGAGGGCTCTCCAGCATCTCCAAAATGGAGCTCAATCATGACTGTAAGTAAAACAGTGAAACAGTTTCTGTCTGAGTAGAGCATGCTGGGAGATATTGCTGCTGTCTTCAAACCATGGGCAGTTTGCCGTAGTGGTAGTACTGGAAGCCTAATAGCGTGGGCAGCCTAGAACATTCTGAGCTTTGGGATACCAGCCCTTTTCAAGCATAGGTCTGAACAAATTAGAGATGTTTCTCTGAAAGCATGGTTACATACGAACATCTTAGGGAACTTCCGTTATTATTATGATTATTATATTACTATTATTGTCATTCTTATTTCAAGGGTTTTGTTGGATTCACCATTAGATATAGTGATTTTCTTGCCTTGTACAAAGAATGTTCTGTTATAGAAAGAGCATGTCAGCTGAATTTAAATTATAATTTTTTAAACCTCTTTTGGTTTCTTGTGTGGAGTCCTGAACTCCAGCCTCCCGCCCAATTTCCTGTCATTACGACTGAGTGTGTGTGTGTGTGTGTGGGGGGGGGGGGGTCCTGGTCTGGCTTAATGAGGCTCGGTTGGTCAAGCAGTGTCCTCACTGACTCTTTTGTAGTAAAATAAACACTGTCTTTTGTGTCACCCTGGCCATCATTGAATTGAGCGAAAGCGTCTCAACGGACTGAATTTCCCCTTTCACGTTAGCAGAATCTGCTGATTCCCTTTTTTCTTCTTTTTTTTTTAAAAATCCGATCAACTCACTTCCTATTTTTCCATTGTGGACGGTGGGAGAGCCTTGCGATCAGTTACCATGGATACGGTAGTCATTGTATAGTAGGAGAATTCCCGACGAATTTCCGCAGTCCCTTAGCCAGCTGACACACACATACAAACACACACACACACACACATGCACGCACATGCGGAGACACACACGCAGGTGAACATTCAGCAGCACTGCGCAGCTTGGAATGGAGTCAGACCCCCTTTTGGGTGCTGGGGGGGTGGTGAGAGTTGGCAGGGAACGCCGGCAGTGCTGGGCCGCATGGCAATGGCTTCCCTTTGTCCGGCTCCCGTTCACACACGCCGCTCCATAGAGCGCGGTGAGCCCAGCCTCTTGGTAGGAAGTCCGTATCCGTCGGAGCCCGACTGCATTTCTGGCCATTGTGCCAACCAGCCTGTTCTGGCAGCAGGAGTACCATGGCACAGGGTGCGAATTATCATGCTGAAAGCAGCCTCCCCGCGTTCACAGTTAGGCATCCCATCATAGGGGCGGCCCTTTCCCTGAGCTGCCCGGGACAGACGCCAGACTCCCTGCGACCTGCACTGTAGAAGCTATTATGGAAGACGGATGGATGACTTTCAGCAAGAGAATTCTTATCCATCCCTTTTCCCATCCAGTACAGTGTTTTACCATCTTAATGAAACAACCTCCCTGCACCAGTTCATCGTGTGTCCGGTCCTCGAACTCTGAATGGCTAATAGGGATTATGACCAGTTTTGACTCACACCCTGATTGGATCATTCCTGCTGCCATCACATGTTCAGCATCTGCCTGGCCTTTTGCCACTAGGAATTGGGCTGAGGACAAAACCTCTTTGGCTGGGGGGGTGATATACACACCTGCAGTCTCTCCAAAATCGGTCAAGTTTAGGGAAAAGGGGGCCTGCTGGCTGGCCACCGTGTCCACAGTGTTCACGTACTGCAAAGTCTGAAAGCACCCCCATTCGACGTAAAGCTTACCCACAGTTCCCTCTGTAAGAACTCATACTGCAAAGCTTGTAGGAGGAAAGTTGGTGACTTGAAGGGGACACGGGAAGAACATTAGGACAATATGACCTTGATGTTCAGCAAACACCCTGGGATTTCCTGAACCACTGGTGCAATTTGTGAATTCAGGCTCATCAGAGCAGTTTGGCCACATTGTTTCTTTTAACGCTGACTGCACTTTTATTTTGAAAGCATAGCCCCGCCGGTGTCCACAGGAAGTGGAGCCTTTCCGGCTGCCTGACAGCCAGGTGACCTTCAATGAGGCCAGCATTATGTTCAGATCTCCCTTGTGTATAGGAACAACCTTCTACATAATAGCATGTCTTTCAACGTCATTTGTAATGGTTTTATAAATAAAATAAATGATCAAAATGCTCTGTTTATGTTAGTCCTGTACAGATGTTACGTTTAATATTAAATATCATGTGTGGGCACTTTAGTTGGTTTTGCTTAAAAAAGCAGGTTTGCTTAGCAGGGTCTGGGTGAACTCATCAACCAGGAAAAATATAAGTATGATGTACGAAATGAGGGAGTATGAAGGAGGAAATGAAGTCAATTTCATCTAAAATCTGGGACAGAAAGCAGATAGGATCGGCTCCCGGGATTGCTGCGGGAAGACTGAGACCGGAGATATTAAATTGATATCCTGACCTCTGGTGAGGGGGTGTCCGATTGCCCGAAAACAAGAGAGCGCCTCTGAGAAGGAGGCCACATTCCGCCCCGGGGGAGCCCTGCTCTGAAAATGAAACGGCTCCCTGAGACGGTGACCGTGCTGGAAAGGGGGGTGGCATTGGTGCGGCATGTCAGCACACGCGCATGAAGGTTGGAAGGGCACCCGCGGGGGCGGGGGTGTGTCTGAGGGCAAAAGCTTGGAAAAGACCGGTAGGCTCCAAAATGACGTGACACTAAATGGGGCACCAGACCATTTAGACACAAGCACAGGGCCACACCTACTCCAGTGGGGCCTGCTTATTTATATGCTTGCTAATATTGATGGACACTGTGAATGCATATTCTTACTGGAAAGAAAACCAAAGGCCTCCACAGAATCTACAAAGTGTTTTAGGACTGGGGGGAATTTCAGAGCCATTAGCTAATTCATTCAGGTAAGAGACAATTTCTCTGCACCTGTTTTGGGAAGAGGGTTTTCTATGGCACTTATTTGTAAACACATTAATGTGTCCATATAAATGATTATGCATTTGCCGTGTGCACAGTGTGGGAAAGACGAAAACAAGTCATTCCTTAGGTAAGCCAAACCGGTTTAGGGAGTGTGTCACAACATCTGTCTGAGCATCTAGCTAGGGCTGGGAGTTGATCCCGAAAGGAATCAATTCCTCGATTCCAGGTGGCTTGGAATCGAGAGTCGACTACAAAGCCTTAGAACAGATTGTACACAGTAAAGTGATTTGGTGCAAGAGAGCCTGTCCTGCCCCCCAGCCCTCTACAGCTTCCCCTCCCCCCAGCACAGACACCGTGGGCAGAGAGGTAGCAGAGAGAGTCAGGTCAGATTTGGCTGCCACCCACCTCACATGCATCAAGAGCCCGAGGAAGGAGATTTACCACCTTACACAAGCTGGCAAAGAAAGGCCATGACATAATGGCAAAAACTGTACCTAGCAAGTGAGTACTTTCTGAAGCTGGCATGCCTGTATCAAAACCACGCACTTGTTTGAAGTGCTCTCAGGTCAAACCAATAATGTTATTGTATTATATTTTGTAATTATACATTAACTGACATTTTAAGCATTCAGTCAGCAGGTTTCCTGGGTTGCTGCCCCATCCTGGGTTGTTCCTTGCCTTGCACCCGTAGCCTGCAGGATAGGCTCTGGACCCCCGTGACTCTGAACAGGATAAGCGGTTTCAGAAAATGTATGCATGGATGGATGCTTCCTAATCAGAGAGATGTGACAGCATAATTGTCTGTGCTTATTGACAATATTATCCAGATTAAATAAAGAAGTTGAAAAATTCTGGAATAATTCTTTAAGTACTTTTTCCCTTTAATAAACTACACGTATAAGATATGAAGTAGACAATAGACCAATGTATGTAATATTAAATGGTGTGCTTCATGGGAGCACGTGAAGTTAATAAATTTGATTTATTGGAAACTATCAAGATCCCTTGTCATTTACCCTGTCATTATTGTATTTTTTAATTTACAAGACCTCATTCCTTGAAGTTGAAGTTTTTGGAATCGAGAAAGTCACTGTATGCAATTAACTCCATAGATTCCCACCAACTATAATCGGAGTCGATTCGAACCAACAGCCCTGAATCTAGCAGCAGACTCGTTCTGATGAAAGTCGCTCATGCGTGCTCCGTGTGGGAGGCGCGCGCTATTCTGCCTACAGTCATGAACACGATCTGATGAGCGCGTCAGCTGCTTGCCGCGTGGGACGGACTACAGCGATCCGTACGTCTCTAAAACAAACCAGAGGCGTCATTCAGGTCATGAAGCTGGAAAATGCGTAGAAACGAAAGGCTAAATCTCAGAGCCGAAAACACCATCCATTGCACATCAGTCAGACCTTTCTTAGAAGATCATGTCATTGTGAGCCAGGGTTGCCAGCTCTCACGCAAGACATCTTACGGCAAATCTATATTATTCCATTATAAACCTAAAATTAGCTACATCAGAAGCATTTTGGTAGTTTGCAAACCCTACAGACTATTTACAGTGTAATAAAACTGTTACATAAATGTAAACGAGTGTGCATACTTGTCTCGAAGAGAAAATCCCACTCTAGCCAGCTGAACAGATTAGGCAACCCTGGTGGTCGATTCACTATTTTCACTGTCACGCTCCTTAACGTCACACAAACATCCCCACGTAAATGAAACAAAATATTACAGATGGCCGGAAGAATCCGTTTAGCATTTGAGAAAGTCTGTAGGACATCTGTGTGTCCTGGTAACGGTTGGGCTGTGACTGCATCTTACAAGCAGGCCAGCTTGTGCGCTTTAGAGGGTAACGACCCATAAGGACCTACCACAGTGCGAGAGACAGAGACTAGCTGAACTTCGATCACAGTATCTGTTACATGCAAAGTTGAAAAGACATTATTCTAGATACAAAACACCTAGGGAGAAAGCGGCCGTCCAAAATACAGGAAAGGCCTGTTTTAAGACGTGAAGTATTGTAACACCTCCGGACGCTACACACTCCAGACCAGCAGGTGGCGGTAAGTCGTCCGCTGTTTGCAGGCAACACGCCGAAAAAAAAGCCAGACTAAGGTCTGCAAGACAGATGTGCTGATAAAGGTCTGCATCGCTGAACTGGGCTCGGCAGCAGTGGATCTGTAAGTATTAAATTTAACAAAAGCCGTGCATGCGTGTGCAAGCATTACTGCACCATACGTAGATGGGGAGACCCACTGGGGCGGTCGGTGAGCATGCACAGTATTAAACAGCGGGTACGAGGTCCAGATTCCTGGCGTGACTATGACCGATCTCTGCTCGCTAGCTAGCCGGTTAATCGCAGGCCATGGGCCCGTCTCATTTACTGCGTTCTCGCAGCCCTGATATGTGCACCGAACACCGGCGAGCCACCGCGTCATTGTGCCGCGCATGCAGTGTAACTGAAATGTCTCCGTATAAATTAAAGATACCGCTACAAAGGGCCCAGACAGTGGCGAAAGCGAAGACCGGGAGCCCATTGCGGAGGGTAAATTTAGTGGGATCACTGATCAGTGCTCAAACTGCCCTTTAAAATAAGATGGGGGTTTTATGGGCAGGGGTTTGTCTTATTCTATTTAAACCAAAATACAGCCTGAATGCAATAAATGCCGAGAGATAAAAGTTGTGCAAGTGTACACGTGTAAAATGATGGCTAAAAAGATAAAAATCACGTCGAATGACGGCTGGACCCGGTTCGTTTAGACAGTCTGTTCTATTCTATCACTTAAAGCTGCTGTTTTCACAGCAGAATGGGTTTACATTGTGAAGAAACACATAATCTTTTACTTATAGAAATCTTAACTATGTTATGATTCAGCCGAGCTTGAAAGATGCACCTTATCTGGCCAAATCAAAAAATCTGCACATCCCCTGAACTTAAGGTTACAGACTGACTGTATAGAATTGTGCAAATATCAGTATTTTGATTTATTGGTGTTTATTGGTGTTTTCTTAATGCTGTCTTTCCATGTTAAGTTCTTCATGTTGGGTTTCAGTTCCCCCCTCCCCTCAAATATCTGTCACCCCAGGATCTGCACTTTGCATGAAATGGAGAACACGGTGAGAGAGAGTGATCCAGGAAGAGTGAGCGGACAGGAGTGCAGCCGTGGGGCTGGAGGGGAAGATGGGGGTGTTGAAACACAGTCTGATGGGTGCGTTACACCAGAAAGGAATGCACTGACCCCCGAAGGAGTGATGTCAGAAGACACGGAACAAGAGCCCAACCAGGATTCGATGCAGGACATGGAGCTCATCCAGAGCCAGCCATCCAGCCCTGGAGACCCGGAATGTGGAACCGACCTCGAAGATTCCGGTTCTGCTGAGGAGAACGAGGATGACGTTGACAATGCCGAGAACATGCAGCTCAGCATCATTAAGTGCGAGTTTAACGAGAGGCTGGTGGACGAGCATGCAGACCCAGAAGGTGCTGATTACGAGGGTGAGAGCTCAGCCGAGCCCAGTGAGCAAGCAGAAGATCTGAAGGAGGAGTCCGCCATCCATCTGGACGTGGAGGAGACCCGCGGGCACATCTGCCCCCACTGTGGGAGGTTCTTCAGGCGCGCGGCGAACCTCATGAAACACTATGAGACCCACGAGGAGAACGACCCTGCGTCGTGCAGCTATATTTGCGTCGACTGTGGGAAGAGCTTTCCCCAGGCGAGCAAGCTGAGGAGACACCAGCACGTCCACGCCGCCGACAAGACCTACCCCTGCACAGACTGCGAGAAGACCTTCAAGAACCCGAGCCACCTCAAGTCCCACCGACGAGTCCACATGGAACTGAGACCTTACAGCTGCCCGCAGTGCGGTAAGACCTTCAGGACGGCGGTGATTTTAAGGAGCCACCAGCAGATACACTCGTCGGAGAAACCATTCAGCTGCACCCACTGTGACAAGAGCTTCACCCGCAAGTCGTACCTGAGGACACACCTCCGGATTCATTCCGACGAGAATCCATTCAAGTGTGCCCAGTGTGGGAAGGCTTTTCCTTACGGACCCAAACTGGAGATTCACCTGCGGATTCACACGGGCGAGAAGCCCTTCAAGTGCGCCCAGTGTGGCAGGAGTTTCGCCCAATCCGGCGACCTCAAGTCGCACCAGCGGACTCACTCGGGCGAGAGGCCGTACGGGTGCCACGAGTGCGGCAAGCGCTTCTCCTTCGCCTGTAACCTAAAGACGCACCTGAGGATCCATTCAGGAGAGAAGCCGTACACCTGCTCCTTCTGCGGGAAGAGCTTCAGCGATGCCTCCCATTTCCGGAAGCATCAGCAGCAGCACTCGGGCGACAAGCCGGTCATCTGCGAGGTTTGCGGCAAGAGCTTCTCCGACGTGGCCAAATTTAACAATCACAAGAGGGTGCACTCGGGAGAGAAACCGTTCACCTGCGCCCAGTGCGGCATGAGCTTCGCCCAGCAGTCGGACCTCGGAAGACACCGGAAAACGCACACGGGAGAACGGCTGCACCACTGTGCTCAGTGCGGAAAGAGCTACGCCCGGGCGTCGGGGCTGAAGATGCACCAGCGGATTCACGCAGAGTAAGCTAGAATAGGGTTGAGTGAATGTCTTTGCGATTTCAGTCTTAGCCCAGGTCTGTTCAAATCACGGTCCTCAAAGTCCGAGCCCTGCTGATTTTCCAGCCTCCCTTTACCTGTGAGCCAGCTGTGAAGCCTTTGGCCAATCAGGATCAGTAATTAATAAACTAACTACCTGGGAGAACTGAAAACAAGGCCTGAATTAGGAATTGAGGTCCAGATTTGAAGAGCCCTGTCTTAGCCTCTTATCCATTGTTTGTATTTGGGCAGAGCTGGGAGATGGTCATCTCTCACCCAGAAAGAAACTGGACTATTTAAACTGACACCATTTAAAACTGAGGCTGCCTACCCCAATTAGGAAGTATGCTGGAGAAGATTGCATAATGTGCAAGGAAATAAACGATTAAAACCAAGTAGGTAAGTATTTAATGTGTTCATGGGACCTGCATGGTTACGTTTAATCTGTGTTGAGTTCACAGTCACATGCTCTTTGTGACGGCTGATAATCTTGATTTTAAACACTACATGACTGGATTTAGCTCAAAGACAGCTGTTGTATAACACTACGTTTAGTGCAAGGATGCAAAGTGTCTTTATTCAGCATTAATGACATGTTTGGTTCCTGTGGTGAAACACAGATCAGTACCTGTAACAGCAGCCTATTGGAATGTGTGCCACCAGCGAAATATTCCCTCTCCTGTATATTTAGGCCACAGATGTTCAGTTTTTACATTTTTGTATTATGTAATGTCTAGAGATTTGTAGTTTTTTGTTACGTACATATATATAAAAAATATATATAATAGATTGTGTATTTACACTGCAGATTTTCATTACATTTCACCAAAAGAGATGTACAACTGTTAGGTACATTTTTTGAAAGACGACAAAAGTATGATTTAATACCTAAGGGTTAAATGTCACAATTGCCTGTATATATTTTTTGGAGTTTTTCATTTGCAGGTAATCAATTTCAGAAAAAGATGGTGTTCTCTGCAAAAAATATTTTTTTATGTTTAATGTAAAACAAAACAAAAAACCTAGCGTTCCCCTCGTCATTTATGTCTTTGGTAAGTTTCACGGGGCAGAACGGTGACCCGGCGGGTCACAGTGTAGCGTCACACCTTCAGGGTTGGGGGCTTCGATCCCAGCCCTGGCTGTGTGTATGTTTGTATATGTGTGTGAGAGAGAGTGTGTGTGTGAGAGATACGTTGACATTCTCTCTGGATGGATGGAAAAGTAAATTTCCTTGCTTTTCTGTTCACAAATTGGCAAATGATATACCTCAGCAGTAAGCCCATCAGGGGTGCCTGGTGGCTCAGTGGGTAGCCCCGGGGCTCGAGCCCCGACACCACTGTGTCACTGCAGCGTGCCCCTCCACCTCCACAGGTTACCTCTGGGTACTTCGGTTTCCTCCTGCACTCCAAAGACATGCACTTAGGCAAATTAGCATCCTGACATTGCCCATGCTGTGGGACCATGTTTGTGAACCTGCTGTGTGTTGGACTGGCATCCCATCCAGAATTTGTTCCTGCATTGTGCATTATGCTGCCAGGGAAAGGTTCCAGGCCCCCAACACAACCCTCTAGTGGACAAGCCATTGGAAAATTGATGATGGAAAAAAATCCCATTAATAAATGGTATTGTCAATTTAGGGAACTGTGTCGTTGGTGTCCAATAATTTCTTGCTTCCTGGGGGTGTGTGACAAGGGTCACATGCTCGCCATATAGAGAATATCCAACAAAAGAAAGATGTATTTGCCTCTAGTTAGGTATTCCAAGAAGTGAAGTGTGAAATATTTTTTGCTATAAACTTAACTGCTGGAACAGCAAATACCCGGCCGTGTAGAAAGCACAAGTTAATCCCCCGAGACAGATCCAGGGAGGATATGTTGAAATTTCAAGAACAATGATTTCGCAGAAAGAAACTTACCAGTGACACTTACTGCAGGCATGTGAATATTTATTAGAAAACAAATATGAGGACTGTGCTTGTGATATGACATTGCATTATTTAGATATAAATGTACAGTATATTGAGTTTAACATCTAGATCAATATTTATATTTGTATAAAATCTTTTTTGAAGGTCAGAATGAAAATGGAGGGTACTGATTATTTCTGCACAGGCATACATTTAAATAATTTTATGCACGTAGGCGCTTTTAAAGTTTAAACAAGCGAGTTTGATTCCTGAAATATGTAAATATAAATGCAATGAAATATTTCTGAGTACGCAGACGATACTGCCTGCTGTTCTGCGTGGACTTTCCGCTCCTAAGGCTTCCGCGGTCGACTTGTGCCCAGGACGTCATTTCCATGACGACGTGGGCTTTTTGCACAATGTGTCCGCCCGTTTGCCCAACCAGCTGAAGTCCCGGATGATTGACAGGCGATACCGACCAACCCAGTGAGTCTACGCGCGTTCCACGACTCCTAGCGCTTAAGCGCTTTTTTGAGGCAAAGGTCGCAAAAAAACACTTAAGTGATCGGTTTCTTAATTTAATAACTTCTGATACCAGAAATATTCTTAATTAGGAATTACTTCACGGATTAGTATGTAAATTACAGCTTCAAATGTGCGGTACGTTTTCGCCGGCGACACGGGTGACATTCATTGTCCTCCACACTTGCTGTCCGTATGTTAAAATGACGACTTAAAGCGCCACCTGGTGTGACATGGTGGGAAGTACAACCGACCAATATTACATTTTTTAAATATAGACTAGTATTATCGGTTTGGTGTTTGTCTGTACATATATATGTATGTTAAATCTCCGTGCCGCGAAGCCGGAATGGAAACACCTGCAGGAGACCAGCTGCGTCTCTCCATGACACCCAGTGCAGCGATTTCAGTGAAAACAGGAAGTGGGCATGTAGAGGGTGAAGGCGTCCATTCCCTTACTCACATTACTCCTCAGAAGGAGAACACAGTGCTGCATGTCTCAGCTATCCATCATTAGGGCTCTCCAATCTGCTCACCGAAAGTCCGCAATAGGACATTTTCGTGACTGTTATTATTACAGCCACGGACAAGGTATGGCGTTTTAGATACATACCACCGGTACTGCTTCCTTTGTTGTAATAATAATAATAATAATAATAATAATAATAATTGTACTCCCAATATCCCATATGCGTAAAATCAGTGGATAATTTAAGGGTTAATTTAACGTGGAGGGTTAATTTAACGTGCAATGCAATCTTCAATGCAAAGACATGTCGCTTTTTAAATAGTCCACAGTACTGTCACCTACAATTGCGCCTTCTTGAAACGTCCTTGCAATGCTATATTTTGTACACCAGAGGGAATACTTTATTTAAAAATAGCGAATAGAGCTTGTTGAATACCTGATATATTACCACTAAAAACAAAATTACAAAAGGCTGTATGGGGTAAACATTGCATTTATTACCAATTTATATAAAATGTAAAACTATAGTTTCAAAATGCCTTTATGATTATCTGTAAATCATTAACGTGACCTTACTGTATGTCATTTATGTATTTTTGTTATTGCAGATACTGCATTTCATTGTAGCCTACTTGTGTAATCTCAATTGCACAGTAACAAATAAAAAAATCTTGATCCTTGAAAAATCCTGGATTCAAGCTAAATAGCTATATCGATTTTTTCCCCCGAAAATACCGTGGGTGCTATTGTTACTTTGCAAGAGACCATCAAAATAGGCAAAGTATCGTAACCAAATAACTTAAGTTGCGAAACTGGATGCAAAACACGCCTTGCTGAACGTTCCTATTGCTAACTAGATTAATGATGTCTTTGTAATTAATGCATAGTTCACGGTCACGTCTTCAGCTTGACACGCGAGCGCTCACCCAGCACACAGCGCCGTCGGACTGTGAACGCGCGAACCAGGCTCGCGCCCCGCTCGCTCCCGTCTTTGTATTTTAACGTGGACGAGCCGGGCCTCGAGACCGGAAGTGAACGTCTATGACACGGGAACGGGCCGGGAAGGCAGAGTGACGCGCACCATGTCACGGGCTCCTTCCTAAAGGCTCCCTCGCTGCTCTTCCAGGAGGATGGTCTCTACGACCCAAGGCAGCAGTGCGGAACTGGAAAGGTATGGCATCCCCGGCGCCGTTTCCGTGCCCATCAGGCCCGGTTTGTTGTTTTTGTAGCCGAGGGCGGGTTCGGTTCGAGCGATTGCGGTGTATTACAGGTTTCTGACCTTTCTCCAGCTTGTGTGGCAGGTGCTCCGGGGTGAGATTTACCCCCCTTACGACTCGGGTTCGTCTCTGCGCGATAGCGGGATCGCATCGCTGACGGGTCTCAAAACACGTATCGGGACGCATCGGATTGGACCCGAACTGCAGAGTTGTGTCGGTAAACGGTGCTAGGGCCCGGATCCAAAGGATGCTGTGGAAGTGGGGTAGTAAAGTGTGCCACCCGGGGACAGCGGGCAGACCGATCGCTGGCGTCACCAAAACGTTGTGTTTGTAAGCTCAGGGTCTCCTTTACACACGTGTCACTTTCGCTTCCTTCAGGGCACACAGCTGGCAAATCATATGATTATAAGCGCTCCCTCCCTCCAAGTTAAAGATCATCGTGAGACACCGCATCCTGTTCTCTAAAGCCTGGAACGCTTGTCAAGGCTGGAGTTGGCCGTCTCGGCGTCCTTTTAAGTGCTTGACGAAATGCGATCGCAGTAAATCTCGCCGTGCAGAATACAGTAAGTACCTCCGTGAGCAGTACGTTAAATATCACCGTGCAGAATACAGTAAACTTGATTGCGCGTCTTTCTTTCCCTTAACCAGCGTTAGTTCCCTCGGTCGGTTGATCCATGCTTGAATAATGACAGTGTCACAGCCGGTTTGTGTTGGAATAACCTTTTATTTGGTAATCTGTGCCCTCACGTGCTTTTAACGAAACGTGAAGGAGCCTCTCATACGCTTCATTCCTGTCAGTAATAGGCGGGTAGACGTGGTTACAGGTCGCACCATTTGCTGAAGCACCTTTAGATGGTTTCATGTGCGCAGGAGGACTTACCTTTCACAAAATCAAGCCGAAATACTCTTCCGTGTGGTATATTCGCGGGATAAATAAAGGAATAAACGAGAATCCTTTAGGAAACCGTGAAGAAGAAGCCAGACAGCTAAAAGTGAACAGTGCCAGTAATGAGCCTGCCGGGCCAGTAGGGATGTTCCCCTTATCTGGGAACACCAAATTCCTTTCCTGGGGGGCGGCTGGCTGTGTAGGGATATAGAAGAACTCAATTCAAACCATAAATGTCCTGGTTTAGCTAATTATGGACACAGGTGGAGAGCTGTTGATGTGTGAATTTTGAGTTATTCTGTGACTATACTGAGCTTGGGTACATTATGAAGTTTTTTTTTTGTTTGTTTGTTTTTACTGAATAAAGCTTTCGGGGGCCCAGAGTGTACTTGTGTTCATTCTGAATCTTCCTTCGGGGAGTGGTTGTGTTGTGCTACCTGTTATTGGCTTGTTGGTGTCTCCAGTCCTGACGGGTCGCTTTCTGCAGTGACTCTGTGGAGTCTGTGGGTCTCTGAACCCATCCACACCTGACACGTGCGGCTTCATCGACCTGCTGGCCCTCAGAGTCGATCCAGTCAGTGCAAATGAAAGCTTCTGAAGGGGAAATGTGTTCAGTAATGCCCCCTGTGGGATCTGTAGGATAGATGGCCCCGCCCCCATCTCCTAAACCCTTTGCTACGGTTGGCGACAACATGTGTCCGTCAAACGATCCAGCAAAGCAAAATGGCAAGCAAGGCCTGGTTACACCTCCCCCCAGATGCCAGGCTGTATGTGGGGGTCGATATGCCCGTTGGGTTTGAGACGAAAGGTGAGAGGCACAAGCTTCGAGGGTCTGGGTCACACGGACAGCCCTCCCGCCTTCAGGGGTTTGATGCGCTGCTGTTGTGCCTGACTGTTTAATAAATAACGGCCTCATGGGAACCTGTACAGAGGTGTGAATAAGCTTACACACACACACACACACACACACACACACACAGATACACACCCTTGCGGTTCCATCTGTGACCTCCAGGGGGCACATCTTCGCTGTGGACCTCTGTGAGCCCACACTGATTTATGGTCACGCTCCCAACACAGCTGATTTATCTGTTTTTCAATTTTTTCTTTTCTTTTTAACAGGGACTGTAGGATTTTGGCTTTGCACTCTGGGGAAAGCACACAACCAAAATCAGTTTAAGTGACCGTAAGATAATTAAACATTTATATATCAGGTTTGTTTTCACTTTTCTTGGCGTGTCTCCAACTCGTTCTGGAGGTGGAGCTTGGCTCCGTTTCTGATTCTCCTGCCAGGTTGTCATCTGTTAAACACGTGGTTGTACTTCCTAGGTCAGCCAGCAGGGGCCACACCCAGTGAGTTATTTCCCTTGATGTTTGTGGAGGTGTGAGTTCCCAGGCAGGGATCAGAGATTCCGCCCTGAGTGATGAGCTTTCCCCGTTTTCCCCGTTTTCCCTGTTTTCCCTGGCTTTCTCCTACCTTGAATGCATGCACAATTGTCCGTGCTGCTTTATAAACAGCGTTGTGTGGAATCGGGAGCCCACTTGTTTCCTTAAATGCTTAAACCAGCAGAGATGATTTCATTTGTTAAATGGAATCCGGTGTCCACTTCACAATAAGTCTCCCTATTGCCGCTTGTAAATGGTAGTAACTCATTAATAAAAAGAAAACTGTGGTATAACTTGTCTATAATTGTCTATTAATGATTTACAAAGTGTTACAGCCTAATTAATAACCAGACTATGAACCATTCATAAACTCCTTATAAGGGTAGCCTTATTGTAAAGTGGCACCTGGAGTCCTATTCAGATCCCTGAGTTACACTGGAATGGGGGGGGGGGAGCCAGGCTCTTTGAGTCTTGGGATCCTGCTTAAAGCGTGACTGTATGCCCTGTTCGGCACTTCAGAGATTACAAACTGCCTTCCCACTGCCCAGCCCTGTCACAGCTATGAGCTGGAGAAGAGCACAAGGCACTCACATGATCACAGGGGAAGGGAGCGGGGCCAGCTGTGAAAGCAGACCTCCCATTGACATTAATGGGGTAAGACTCCAGGCTGACATCGCCCCCTACAGGTGCATTGCTTAGTAATTCTTGAAAGGTGAACCAAAGTACAATAACACCAGCCCTCTTAAAGATAGTAATTCTCAGATACTTGCTGTTTAAGATAGAAAATGGTCATGCATTTGCTGTAATAAAGGGTCACTGACAATCCCCTTTGGGAAGGTTTCCTCATACCCTGTATAAACGGGGTCGCTTGGGAAGCTTGCCCCAGGCCAGCGCTGGACCTGCAACCCAGATCCTTGTCAGAAAGATAGGCCTCCTTCTGTACTCAGGGGGCTCCTGGCAGCGTGGGGTGGGGGGTGTGAGAGAAGATTCCGGAAGAACGGTCAGTGTTCCGCAGAGATGCGGTATGATACCTGAGCTCGTTCTGTCGATTAGAAAATGAAGCTGTTTCTCTTTCTCTCCATCACTGTTTATTGCATTTAAGATGCCAGAGCGGAGCTGAGAAGAGAGAAGCTTTATCTGAGCGCTCGATCAGTCCCGTTCATCTTTTAGGTGACGCCAATGGCTGGTACCAGCCGTGTTTTTAAAAAAACCACTGATCTGATGGGCTGTGCTGGTAGGGTGCCTCTTTTGGGGATGACACGAAGTCCGGCAGAGCACAGGTGCATGTTAGTGTTTGGTCCCCGAAAGAGCCCTCCTCTGAGCATCCCCCCCCCCCCCCATGACCCCCCACAGGGTGGCGTGGCGTTAAATGGAGTCGGAGCAGCTCTTCAACAGAGGCTACGGCAGGAGCAGCTACAACAGCATCGCCAGCGGGAGCAGCGACGAGGAGCTCCTGGACGGGGCCGGCGTCATCATGGACTTCCGCACCACGGACGATGACAGCCTGCTGGACGGGGACGCCTCCCCAGGTGGGTCCCGCCGGCTGCCCCCCCCTGCTCCCCCGGCTCCATCTGTCTGTCTTTGAGTCTTGAGCAAAAGTTTGTGCTTCTGATAATCTGTGAAGGGCAATTTTTTTTTCATCCTCTGAATTGAATTTGGAGAGAATGAGGGAGCGCTCTGAGGGCCCGACAAAGGCGTCTTTATCCCGCCTGCGCTGGGCCTCCTAATTGCCCCCCGGGGTGGCCAGTAAGTGCCTGTTTGTCTGCAGCTCGCAGGCGTGGGCTGTGGCAGCGTGAGGGTGGGACACGCTCCACTCAGGGCCAGCCCGCCATTGGTTACCAGTGCGAGGCCCCGCGTTTGCCAGTCCTGGAGTGTTTGTGAATCAGGCTGATTCGTGGGGGGAGGGGCGGGGCTGGCTGACTGCTCTGTTCTGTTTGTGAGCTCTGGTTTGTCGGGTACTTGGGTAGTGGACAAAAGGAGGTAAAAAAAAATTAATTATTGAGAATATTTTAAATATATGTGATAAACAGGATCCTGCTGACTTTCACTGTTTATTTCATGAACAGAATGTGATTCTGGTTATGTATTCATTGGGTTAAACCAGCCAGTGACCAACTGGCTGTTCTAGTTAGCATGTAGTGTGCAGGGGACGCTATACTACATGTATGCATAGTAACCATATGGTGTATAGGGCATAATATATATATATATATATATATATGTGTATGTATATATGTATGTATATATAGTCAGCATATAGCATGTAGGGGACACTATAGGCCTTTCTCATCGAAGTTCAGTAACCTAGTTCCAGCTTCCGAGATCCAGGACAAATCATGTTCCGTATTGGTTAAAAACAGGACACAGCATTTTATTTACACATCCTACAACAAGTTTATGACTTATTATTAAATCTGATCAATAGATCGATGTTTTTCCCACAGAATAACAAATGATGTAAGTTATTCTGATAATAAGAGTTGTCGAGTTTCACCGTCAGCATCAGCGACATTAGACAGAATTGTGTTGGTTATTGATCTAGCAAAAAAGGTTTTCATTAATGCATTCCATGTAATTGAAGTACAAAAGCAATTGCATCTGCTCTACTGCTCCTATCTCTTTTTTCCTGCATCTTTAACTTCCAAGTTAGCAATGGAATTATTGTGGCCAGCCAATCAGAAAGCTATCACTGTAGGCCCCTCCCCAGTAGTTTGTGTTCAGACAAAAGTACCGAGTCTGGAGTAGGTACTGAAGAAGGGTTCTGGATCTGCCTCCGAGGAACTACAGTCGGGCCTTTCTGAGTTTCTGCAGTGTGAACACAACAAAAGTCCCTGGTTTCGGAAAAAGGTTTTGGTTCCAGAAAAAATTCTAATGGTGTGAAAACGCCTGTATTGTTAGCATGTACCATGTGGGGGACACAATACTATACATATATAGTTAGTATGTGTGATTAGCATGTAGGGAACTATATGCTACATGAATGGATAGCTAGCATGTAGCGTGCAGGAGACAATATACTACATGTGTGGATAGCATGTAGCATGTAGGGGACTCTATACTACATGAATGGATAGCTAGCATGTAGCGTGCAGGAGACAATATACTAATATACTACAGCTACGCACTTAGCATGTAGCATGCCGGTGCCTCCAATGTGCGAAGAGCCTATTCAGTAGCTTCTGTTTGGCCCATTTGGACCCTTCATTATTCATGGGTAATGGGAGCCAGCTGTTGGTGGGTAAGCGTGACGCGGGGACGGCGACGCGTTTGTTTATGTCACGCCTCAGCGACTCGGGTTACGGCCCCCGTTACGAGACGCACGTATCGCCTTTTGGGCTCGTATGACCCGTGCGCTCTGCCTCCCCAGCTGCCTTTGCACACGCCTCCCCAGCTGCGGGACGGCTGTAGTGAGTGATCAGTGGCTGACTGGGGGCACTGGCCGCATCTCTGCATGTGGAGCAGCTTTTTGTGGGCTTGCATCTCTTCTTTTCCAAGGTGTGTACTTACACACATCCTCCGTGCTGTGATGCTATAATAAAACGTGATGTTTTTCAGCCAGAAACCGTGAGAGATGAATGAGGGGGGAGGGGGGTGAGGTTTTAAATGGAAGGCTGCCTGTTGTGGGAGTGCTGGGCTCACTGCATGTAGCCCAGCGCTGTTTCTGTCTGGGAGAGGAGCCCCTGCAACTCGCAGTGCGGTGACACGGATGCTGCAGTTTCCCCACTGAGCCGTGGAGAGTATTAGGGTGGGGGAGGAGGGGCCGGCCTGCTGGTCGCACTGACAGCTGTGCTGAGTGGACAGAACGGGAGGGAAGGGGTTAGTGGCGCAGCATGGTGCACTGCGCTGCCTTTGATCCTCACAGACCTGCAGTGGAGGGTGTAGCCATAAGATGGCGCAGTAGTTAAAATCAGTCCGGCCGTTATACCTTTGAAGAATTGCCTGAATCTAAGTGACTTTGGTGGCATCTAACGTTATGATGTGTATAGCAGTGTGTCGTAGGTGAGAATCACAGCTAGGTAGCTAATTTTACTCACCCCAGGGAAAGTCCCCGCTTCCAGTCGTGTCCGACACGGGGAATCGCCTGTGACGAGGACACATGGCGGCGCCGCAGCTGCTATCACAGCTCATCTGTTCCTGTCAGCTGCTCCCGGCATAAACAGAAGGTGGCTGAACCTGCGGGTGGATTAGTGACCCGCTGCAGAGTGAGATGCGCATCAGGGACCCTCCGCTCTGCTCAGAAATGAAACGCTCACTCTCCCTGGGGGAGCAGAGCAGAGGGTGCGGGGGTTGTTTTTCATTAATATCTCTCCTGTCTCCCCTGTCGTTCATCACTGCTTGGCCCATCTTATGATACAGGTGATCAGCAGCAGCTTTCTGCTCGCTCCCGTGCGTCTCTGTCGCCCCCTTGAGGTGGCAGTCCCCCAGGCTGCCATCTTGACTGACCGTTTTGGCTCTCAGGTGTCTCTTATTTTGGGGGTTGGCCAGTGGGGGCCCATGGGGTTCGGCTGTCACTGGACACTCCTAAACTGGGCCGGCCCTGGCATCAAAGCCTCCTGGGTCTCAGAGTGTGTAGCTGCATGGACGACGTCACCCGGTAACTGTGTGGTAACCTGGCAACGGCTCCGTCCTGCAAGATGCGGTAGCTGGGGGCCCCACCAAGCGGAGAGAGTGTGTTTGGGAGGACCTTCGGTCCGGGGTGGAGATTCAGGGTGCTATGCAGTCCGAGCGTGTATTTTGGTTCTTTCACAGCAGTATTTCGATTCTTTTGTTCTTTCACAGCAGTNTTCGATTCTTTGGTTCTTTCACAGCAGTATTTCGATTCTTTTGTTCTTTCACAGCAGTACTTCGATTCTTTGGTTCTTTCACAGTGTGACCAGCAGGGCAGCAGCGTAGAGATGAGTGATAAACCTCGGGCAGCATTTGTAAGAATACAGCAGTGTGGTCAGCTGGAGCTCTGTCAGTTGACGACAGTGGGCGGATCCTCTGGGGTCTGTGTGGGCCCTTGGGTTGGGTTTAGGGTTAAGGGTTAATGTGATTCTGCCCTCTGCGGTCAGGCTCGTTCAGTTATAGGGTTAAGAAGGGGACGCTGTGCCTTTAAATCCTGTCCCCAAATGCGTGTGGCCAGTGACCCGCTTGTAAACAAAGAGGGTTATTCTCCGAGGCCTATCTCTGCACCCCCCCCATATCGGGGGGCACGATCCCGCGGCATGTGTGTGGCACGTGACCCCCGACCCCGCTAAGAATAGCCGCCCTGAGCTGCTTGTCGGCTCTATCTGCTCGCCGGGCTGACTGGGCAGGCTTGTCGTCCTTGGCAACAGGGCCCGCCCCCTCCCGGTGACGTCCCCCCGCCTGGGAGCGGTGAGTGAGCGAGCGAGCGAGAGAGAGAGTGAGCCGCCGCAGTGAGGCAGCAGGCGCCTGCGCAGTCACACGCGCCCTCGCGCACACACACACACCGGGATCTCTGGGCCGCGCTGGAACATGGCCGTCGTCCTCCCCGCTGTCCCCGACAGACGAGGCAGGCCAGCCGCGCCCTGATCCGCCGCGCCGAATCGCACCGGCATCGCCATGGACGCACCCGCCGACCCCTACCTGCCCTACGACGGGGGAGGGCAGGACATTCCCTTGGAGGTGTTGCCCAAACGAGGTACGGCGCATTCGATTCTACCCACCCCCCCTGTTAGTGTACCCCTACCCCCCCCACCTGCCTGGCTATTCTCGTATTCGACGTTGCTGTGGAAATTTGAGTGGGGGTGCGTGTGTGGCGGGTCGGTGCAGGCTCTCGGGGACGAATCTGTGTGTGTGCGTGAGTGTGTGTGCGTGAGTGTGTGCGCGTGAGTGTGTGCGTGTGAGTGTGTGCGTGTGAGTGTGTGCGTGAGTGTGTGCGTGAGTGTGTGCGTGAGTGTGTGCGTGAGTGTGAGCCTGTGCGTGACACAGGCCACTGTCTCTCCTCACACGGCAGATGAGCAGGGCTCTGTGCACGGCGAGTGTCCCTCACCGTCTGACGCCGTCTCACCCCCATGATTCTCACTCTCTCCATATTTCTACGCTCGTCCCACACCTCAGGGTGGGGTATCTCTGTGCCGGGGGGACCAGGGGCTTCTTGGCTCGCCCCCACCCCCCCCCCCCCACCAGGGGCTTCTTGGCTCCCCCGCCCCCCCCCCCACCCCATCGTCCCCGGCGATATGTCAGAAACGTGCTGTGTGCAGCCGTGCGCACTGTCGCGCGGCGGTGCAGACACCCCAGCGCCGGTGTCCGTTTCAGTGACGCGTGAGCTTTCCTGGAGGGTGGGGGCTTTCCTGGAGGGCGGGGGCTTTCCGCGTACGTGTCTGGGCCGCCGTGCTGCCAGCCGCAGGGACATGGTCACCCTCACACTCTCCGGGGGCACCTTGTGTCACCCAGCGACATGGGTGTGTATTTAGGGGACCGGGACCCAGCAGGACTGCATCATCATCATAGTCGTTAAATCTGATAAATGCTCTCGGTGTATTTGGTGTGTCATGCCTGTGTGTCCTCCACCCGCTCACCCCCC